ACCATATGTTGAATTGGACTACAGGCACGGTCCCTAAGCCACATTACTTGTTGTTTAATTAAACAGAAGGGGGGAGATGCTGAGAGCCACAGCCATTCTGTATGGCCCCTGGGCATTTTGCCAACAGTATTGATTGACAGGCGAGGCATTAATATCCGCCTCTGCCGCTACTTTTGAGTTCTCTTGCTATTTTGGAGTTCTCGCGCTATTTTGGAGTTCTCATGGGGATTTCTGGGGATTCCCCAAGAGTTCCCATTGGTTGGGGAAGTGCAGGAGGAGGGATTTCCCGGAGAGATATTTCCGGCTGGGGGTTCCTGCAGGAGCCGCGTGGCTTTCGGAGGATTCTCCAGGAGCGTGTGTGAGGTTTTTTCTTGTAGTTCAAAAATAAAGTTTGTTCCTGCTTCAGTAGCTCGTGATTTGTGCCCAGCCAGACTGCGGCACTCATTAACAACTCCTTGTTGGGAGAAACAATTCCTTGGAGGCAGGTGACCTTAGCAACAGGATGGAGGGGGGGGTAAATGCTCAGGAGGTATTAGAATTTTATTTCCCTTGAATCAGCTTCCATTTTCCTGACCAATTATTCATTATCCACACAGACTGTTCTTTTGCCCTGGCCTCACAAAGGTTGGGGAGAAGATGTGTTTTGAGCATCCCTAGTGGCAGATCTTGGGACAGCAGAAGGGACTTAATAATGAGTCAGATTGTAAATCAACATAAGAATTCTTTATCACCTGTAATCCCAGCAACTCGAGGCTGAGACAGAAGGGTTGCAAGTTCAAATCCAGTCAGCAATTTAGCAAGGCCCTAAGCAATTTAGTGAGATCCTGTCTCAAAAAATAAAAATGTGTAGGGACGTAGCTCCGTGGTTAAGTGCCCCTGTGTTCAATCTCCAGTACCAGAAAAACAAAAAGAAACCTTTAAACTGAACTCACTGGTAGAGTGCTTGCTAGCATACACAAGCCTTGGGTTCAATCCCCAGCATGACAAACCCAAAAATAAAAACAAGCCTTTAAACCAGTGTTATCTGAACTATGGTTAACAACCATGATTCATAGTGGTCATGAGATCAGTTTTGTGGATATGATAAATTCTAGGACTTTTCACATATTCCTGGTTACTCCCCTTGGGCATATTGTGAGATGTCTTCCCCATTCCACCCACAGTTAAGCATGGCCATGTGACAACTTGCTTTATTGTCACATGCTTTAAAATGTTAGTAGAAGTGGTGTCTTGTTTCCAGATTTGTTCTGTCATTCTTGATACAATGATTCAGGAAACCTTTGTTAAGAGGGATACTGTGAGGACTTGGGCTGTAGCTCAGTGGTAGAGTACTTGCCTAGCATGGGTGAGGCATTGGGTTCTATCTTCAGCTCCTCATAAAAAAATAATTAAAGTTATGAAAGAATATATATTTTTTAAAAAGGCTACTTAAAAAAAAAAAGATGGATACTGCGAGCCAGACCTCGTGGTGCATGCCTATAATCCCAGCAGCTCGGGAAACTGAGGCAGGAGGATTGCAAATTCAAAGCTAGCCTCAGCAAATGTGAGGTGGGGCACTAAGCAACTCAGTGTAGACCCTGTCTCTAAATAAAAATACAAATATAGGGCTGGGAATGTGGCTCAATGATTGCAGGGAAGTTTTTATAACACAAAAAATTACAAAGGGGGTTGTCTTTGGAACTTACAGCTGACAGGGTTCAGCAAGTTTAATATAATATATGTGCAGACAGCAGGTTAATGATCTACATGACTTAACATCTCAAGGTAGGGAACAAACTTAGATTTCAACATCAGAGTTAATGAAAAGCAGTTGGGATTTCAGAGAGGGTTGTTTTCTAGTCAAGGAGAGCCAGGCACAGGTAGGTTCAAAGTATGGGCAAGAATTCCAGGTAAGTTTTTAAAGCATCAAAGTATGGTCAGGCCAAATAGAAATCTTAGCATTTTACAGTAAAACAGAAATGAATTTTTCTTGACCTTGTGAAAAGATGGCTCCCAATTTTAAAATGGAATTAGGCTGGGTTCATCATCATCCCAAAACATGTGTTGCAAACTTAATCCCAAATTCAACAGTATTGGGAGTGAGATCAATTGGAGGGTATTCTGGTCAGAAAAGGGCTTTAAACTCATGTATTGAATAATGCCCATTTAAAAAGGGCTTGAGTCTTCAATTTTGAAATCTTGCTCTCTCTCACCACATGATGATTTCTGCCATTTTATGATACAACTAGAAGGCTCTCACCAGATAAAGCTCCTTTCCTTGGCTAAGTGCATACTACTCAAGGGCTCTACCTCTGAGTTATATCCCCAGACCTCTTTTCCCTAGGCAACTTAGCAAGACCTTGTCTCTAAATAAAATATAAAAGGATCTGGGGATGTGGCTCAGTGGTAAAGCACCTCTGGATTTAATCCCCAGTCCCTCTCTTAAGGAGAGTCCCAACAGACACGTAAACTCCCAATTGTAATATTATAGTGATAAATCTGGCAGGAAAGCACAGGGAGCTTTAGCAATGTAGGGGAGGGAATATTTCAGCTGAGACAGGAAGGACAAATAAATCGGGTTCACAATAACGAAGAAGCAAAAGAAAACCCACACAAATACACATACAACCAATTATAATGGTAGTTGAACACTATGAATCCAACTACACATTTTTAGTTCTCTTTTAATTTTATATTTCTATTTTTAACTGCTATTGATGGTTATCATTATAATTTCAAATAAGCATCTTAAAATCTTTTTTTTTTTTTTTTGGTACTGAGGGATTGAATTCAAGGGCATACAACCACTGAACCACATCCCCAGCCCTATTTTGTATTTTATTTAGAAACAGGGTTCTCACTGAGTTACTTAGTGCCTCACCTTTGCTGAGGCTAGCTTTGATCCTGTCTAGCCTCCAGAGCCCAGCCACTGGGATTACAGGCATGTGTTCACTAGTAAGTGTAATCGCAGTGGTGTCCAACCAATCTTCAGAACTCTATAATCTTGCAAAACTGAAACTCTACACTCATTAAACAGCTTCCTTTCCACACCAGACCCCACCCTACCCCCTTCTAACAATCCCTATTCTTCTGTCTGAATTTTGACTACTTTTAATACTTCCTAAGTGGAATTATACAGCATTTATCCTTTAGTGGTTTGGCTTGTTTAATTTTGCAGGTCATCTTCATCTGTTATGTGCTACATTTCAAAATTTCCTTCTTTTCTAAGGCTGACTAATATCTATTAGGTGTATATACCATCTTTTATTTACCCATGCGTTGCTACATACATGGATACTTGCATTGCTTACACCTTTCTATTATTGTGAATAACACTGTTATGAAAGTAGGTATACCAATATATTGATGTCTTGTTTTCAAGATAAAAGAGCTTATTGGACATGGTAGGAAAAAAGTAGCTGAGAAGCTACTCAAAAGAGCTGAGAGGGAAGTGGGTGTATATTCTCAGTTTTTCACAGGATCTGATTCAATTGTCTTTTTCCTATGTCTGAGATCATTTTATTGGGATCACACCTGTCTCCTGTTCTCCTATTAATTAATGTGCTGGACTCAGCACATTAACCACCATTCTTGGAATTTACTACTTTCCTTGCTCTATTAGAAATTCATGGAGAGTGATTTGGGACACCCTGAAGATGGCTGCTTGGAACCCAATAAAGCCTTTATAAGATTTCTCAGAGAAGCGAGGGAGATCCAGGCAGTTTCTTTATCCTTCTCTCGAAATATAACCCCTGTTTTCTGGAGCCAATAGCATAACCAGAAAGGGCTTAGAGTCTTACTTCCATCTCTGCCACCCTCCACCCCGCCACACTCTTCTAGAGTACATCCAAATCTTTTTCTACCAGGTCTCGCCGATCCGTTACTCTAGCGTTCCTGAAGAGATCCTCTTTCCCTTGTCTGACAACGCCCCCACGCCTCAGTCTTACTTAAACCAACTGAGAGACTTTCCAACACTTTTGTCAAACAAGGATCCACTGGCCTTACACATCCCTACCACATTCCAACCAGAGCCCTCCAGGATCACCTGCTGTCTCGCCGCCTACGCTCCAGTTTGGAAATGTCCGGATGTGGAGTCCCTCCAAGTGGGAGCTCCCTTAATATGCAACTTGATCAGCCGGCGTCCCCCCACCCCCCACCCCGCCCTGCCCTGTAACTTTGAGCCAGCTCGGTGCAGTTACCCAGATTCCTAAACTAGCCCATGAGGTCAGAGGCAGCATCGCCATTGTAACGCTACTGGAAAGGGCAGCGTCATCAGACACGCCCTTCAAACCTGGCTGTGTCAACATACAAGTCCCCACCAACAACCCATCTCCACCGCCTAAACTCTTCAGATTGCGACCGCCAAGAAGTCCATACAATTAGTCAACAGTTCTACCACGACAAGCCTAAAGCTGATCTTCCCCCTCAAAGGAGGGCAGCTGCGGGCAATACGAAGGCACAGCTGATCCAACTGACGGGGACCTTAATTCTAACACTGCTTGTTTACACAATTGCTTTTCTTTTCAAAACCTAAAGCTTCCCGCCCAACTCGAGGATATTTCATTCATGTTGTTAAAAAATTATGTAAAAAGTAAAAGCTGGGGGAGGGGAGTTGAGGTTGTGGCTCAGAGGTAGAGGGCTCGCCTACCATGCGTGAGGTACCGGGTTGGAACCTCAGCACCACATAAGACATATTGTATCCACCTATAACTAAAAAATAAATGTTTTTATTTTTTTATTTTTTAAAGGTAAAAGCTCTATTACAGCATTTCCTTTCCATTTTAAACCCAAGATGGGAACAAGGACCCGGGAGGACAAACATTCCTCAGGCAGCACAGGCGATCTGGCCCAATCAGTCCTTTCGGTCCACCATTCTCCTCCCCCCCTTAAACCTCTGCGAATTTCTGTGTCCCGCAGACGGGCTTTATTCCTTCCTTAAACACCCAGAACTCGTCTGATTCCCACCAGCCACTCACCGCCCTACAACCCAAGCCTAAAGCTGGCCCTTGCGGTCATTTCACTCTAAGGGGCTGGCCGCCAGCAAAGCCATGGAAACCGAGGCGACAACAACCTCCCTCCTCCCTCCGCACTCGCCCTCCCCTCCGGGCTCCCGATCCCCTCCAGTGAACCCCAGAAGCGTCTGGAGAGTTCTGGGGAGGGGCGGCACCCTCGCCTCTGATTGGTCCTGGGAGGACAGGGGCGGAACGCCAGGAGAAACCCCTGGAACATTCCGGTCCCGACAGCCTCATCTGGCACCGCGATTGGCCCAGGAGGGAGCAGGCGGGGCTCCATGGCAACATATAAAGCCCCAGCGGGAGGCTGGCTGAGGAACGGCGAGCCTCAGCAGCAGCTGGCATAGGCGGCTTTTCAGCTTTCCGTGAGCGCACACCCGAGCAGTCGGCTTTCGACTTTCATCCAGGACCGAGCTTTTCTTCGCGGGTCGCGTCCCCCCACGGCAGCCAGAAGCTCATCTTAGATCCCAGAGAGCGGGGCACCGACATGGCCAAAGCCACGGCGATCGGCATCGACCTGGGCACCACCTACTCTTGCGTGGGGGTGTTCCAGCACGGCAAGGTGGAGATCATCGCCAACGACCAGGGCAACCGCACCACCCCCAGCTACGTGGCCTTCACGGACACCGAGCGGCTCATCGGCGATGCCGCCAAGAACCAGGTGGCGCTGAACCCGCAGAACACGGTGTTCGACGCGAAGCGGCTGATCGGCCGCAAGTTCGGCGACCCGGTGGTGCAGTCGGACATGAAGCACTGGCCCTTCCAGGTGATCAACGACGGCGACAAGCCCAAGGTGCAGGTGAGCTACAAGGGCGAGAGCAAAGCGTTCTACCCGGAGGAGATCTCTTCCATGGTGCTGACCAAGATGAAGGAGATCGCCGAGGCGTACCTGGGCTACCCGGTGACCAACGCGGTGATCACCGTGCCGGCCTACTTCAACGACTCGCAGCGCCAGGCCACCAAGGACGCGGGCGTGATCGCCGGGCTCAACGTGCTGAGGATCATCAACGAGCCCACGGCGGCCGCCATCGCCTACGGCCTGGACCGCACTGGCAAGGGGGAGCGCAACGTGCTCATCTTTGACCTGGGCGGGGGCACCTTCGACGTGTCCATCCTGACGATCGACGACGGCATCTTCGAGGTGAAGGCCACTGCCGGCGACACGCACCTGGGCGGGGAGGACTTCGACAACCGGCTGGTGAACCACTTCGTGGAGGAGTTCAAGAGGAAACACAAGAAGGACATCAGCCAGAACAAGCGAGCTGTGAGGCGGCTGCGCACCGCCTGCGAGAGGGCCAAGAGGACCCTGTCGTCCAGCACGCAGGCCAGCCTGGAGATCGACTCCCTGTTCGAGGGCATCGACTTCTACACGTCCATCACCAGGGCGAGGTTCGAGGAGCTGTGCTCCGACCTGTTCCGTGGCACCCTGGAGCCGGTGGAGAAGGCCCTGCGCGATGCCAAGCTGGACAAGGCGCAGATCCACGACCTGGTGCTGGTGGGCGGCTCCACCCGCATCCCCAAGGTGCAGAAGCTGCTGCAAGACTTCTTCAACGGTCGCGACCTCAATAAGAGCATCAACCCTGATGAGGCGGTGGCCTACGGGGCGGCGGTGCAGGCCGCCATCCTGATGGGGGACAAGTCAGAGAACGTGCAGGACCTGCTGCTGCTGGACGTGGCGCCCCTGTCGCTGGGGCTGGAGACGGCCGGGGGTGTGATGACCGCCCTGATCAAGCGCAACTCCACCATCCCCACCAAGCAGACGCAGATCTTCACCACGTACTCGGACAACCAGCCCGGGGTGTTGATCCAGGTGTACGAGGGCGAGCGGGCCATGACGCGAGACAACAACCTGCTGGGGCGCTTCGAGCTGAGCGGCATCCCCCCTGCCCCCAGGGGCGTGCCCCAGATCGAGGTGACCTTTGACATCGACGCCAACGGCATCCTGAACGTCACGGCCACCGACAAGAGCACGGGCAAGGCCAACAAGATCACCATCACCAATGACAAGGGCCGCCTGAGCAAGGAGGAGATCGAGCGCATGGTGCAGGAGGCAGAGAAGTACAAGGCCGAGGACGAGGTGCAGCGCGAGAGGGTGTCTGCCAAGAACGCCCTGGAGTCCTATGCCTTCAACATGAAGAGCGCCGTGGAGGACGAGGGGCTCAAGGGCAAGATCAGCGAGGCCGACAAGAAGAAGGTGCTGGACAAGTGCCAGGAGGTCCTTTCCTGGCTGGACGCCAACACCCTGGCTGAGAAGGATGAATTTGAGCACAAGAGGAAGGAGCTGGAGCAGGTGTGTAACCCCATCATCAGTGGACTGTACCAGGGTGCGGGTGGCCCCGGGGCTGGAGGCTTTGGAGCTCAGGCCCCCAAAGGGGGCTCTGGATCGGGCCCCACCATTGAGGAGGTGGATTAGAGGTCTTTCCTTCTTCCCTTCCTCCATGTTTTTCCTGTCGTTGAGACCCACTGTTGGGACTCCAGGGCTTTGCTGTTTGCCCTCTGTTATTATCCAACTTCAGTTTTCTGCTGCTGACTTTTTTCTAAAGTGACTGTTGTATCTGGAAGGTAACTATAGCTGAATGTCATTATATTTTTGTGGTGTAAGCCATGTGTTCTTTAGGTTTAATGTAAGTTAGCTCTGTGAGGATGTCTTTCCTCTTCTTGTTTTCTAACATAAATCAACACTCTTATCCGATGTATGATTGTTTGTGTTTGCAAGAAGACAAAGACTCATTTTATTTTTCAAATGATGAAAAATTGAAATCGCCAGTAGAACTGCCAGGTTTGGGCTGGCCCTGGAATTGTTGTCTTTGGGCCTCTTGTCCCCAAGGGGTTTCTGTCTGGCTCCTCCATTCAGGAGGAAGATTAAAGACCCTTCCTTCCATAGGCCATGTTTGTATTGTAGATGGTTGAGCATCAAGACTTTACTTTTTCTTGTATCTTTTATTGTTTGCAAACTATATATTTTGTTGAACTTGATGTTTCTCTGCTTTTTAAATATAGAGATGAATTTATACTGTCACTTTGTCCATTTTCTTTTTTATGTACTCATACTGAACTCAAACCAATTTTTTATTGGTTACTTAAAAATAAATAAACAACATAATTTTACTGGTGTCTGTCTTCCTTTTCTTATTTTTTGAGGTCAGAAGGTATATGCATATGTTGTTTTCTTACAGTTCTATAATTATGGCAGCAGAAATGGGGTATGTGGTCTGCAAACGTTATGAATTGACAGCAGGTGAGGGTACAAGCTCTGGCTCCTGAATTAAATGCTCAAGTGCCTTAACTACCCTCATCCCTGGCTGTCATCTTTTAAAGTGGGATTTTTGATGCTTTGATCTAAAGTTATTTTTGAATGGATGCCAAAATAGTTGTCATTCAACTACCCCAGATAGCACATTAGGGAGATGTCACCTGAGAACATATGCCTCAGTAGCAGAAAGACCTCAACATTTGAGTGCTGTAATGTAGTGCAGACACTACACTGGGACCTGGGGCCTTTTGTGTGTTACTTTATTCTCACTTTACCACACTTCCTTAGGTATTGTTGACATTCACAGGTGGACTTGTGGGGAGACTAATAAGTTACTAACAACTATAGCTGCTTAAATGGAAGGAAAAAAAATCATTGGTTCAGCAAAGATGTTCAACCTGGTTTCTAATTCAGAAGTTTTTGCCATACCATTGCAAGTCTACCACCAGATTTTGTTTATGCATGTCTAGTTTGAGCTTCTATTTCTACCTTAGGTTTTTTTGGGTTTTTTTTTTTTTTTTGTACTGGGGATTAAATTTTGGGGGCACTCCACTACTGAGCCACATCCCCAACCCTTTTTTGTATTTCATTTAGAGATAGGGTCTCACTGAGTTGCTTAGATCTTTGCTAAATTGCTGAGGCTGGCTTTGAACTCACAATCCCCCTGTCTCTGCCTTTGAGCTGCTAGGATTATAGGAGTGCACCACCAAGCCCGGCACTACCCTAGTTTTACAGTCAGTTAGTCCTTTTATCTTACTCTGTATACTCCTAAACAATTATGCCAACTATACAATAGGATGATGATAAACTGTTAGTACTTATTAATTTAGAAAAATGTGGGGTGGGGCTTGGGTTGTGGCTTAGTGGTAGAGTGCTCACCTAGCACATGTGAGGCACTGGGTTTGATCCTCAGCACC